GCTTTGACTTCCTGCGTTTTCCCTCAGGGAAGCAACACAGGGGAATCAATAGTCAAATAAAAAAGTTTTTGTTGTGTTTTACCTGTTTGATAAAGTACTTTTGTTGTCTGTATTTTGAGTCCTTTGCTTTGGTGGATCTATAACGATTACATCTTTATTTTAGTTGGTGAAACACTTTTAGATAATCACACCAACCGAAGGGATCCCGCCTAACATGAGGATTTCTGATCGAAGGGGAAACACACCTCACACAACAGAACCGTTTGATAATCAGACCTTCGCTGACTTAAGTTGGGAGAGGGGAATCAGGCCCAGAATCATCATCATTTTCTTATAGTGTTTGCTTCATCTGACCAACTTAGATCATATTCATTTTTTCTGTCAGTAGCTGATATCTGTCTGATCTTGATCAGTGTGATATTCTGTCACCAATTGCATCTGTGTTAAGAAAGAAAGATCCAAACTCTACTCTAACACGGTGAGATCAAATCTCCACAGTCTTTAACATTATTTCAACTGGAACAACAAAAATAAACTTGTATAGCCAGACGTGACTCTGTAATGGGGTAAACAAAGATGCTAGGAGCCTGTGATGAGCTTCAGCAGACAGCCGATTATCTGATGTGCAGTTTGTAAGAAAACAGGTGAAAGAAAACTAAAACACAGAGACAGTGATGAGGAAGAGAAAACACAACCACAACAGACGGCCATTTTGCTGAGAGGCTGCAGATGATTCAGCGGCCAAGGCCTGGGATTGGATTGGAAGGCTCTGTCTGGCTTGTCTACTGGTTGAGGTTAAAACTGAGCCAAGCAGCAGCCCAGGCTCGAAACATTCACACAGACACTCTTCGGAAAAGTACCTGGAGTGTCGTCTGGTGTTTGTTGTGCAGGATATTAGTCAGATCTTTGACCTAACGTTGTGTTTCTGTAGGAAAAACACCAAACACACCATCTTCCTCCTCAAACATCCTTACGATAAATGACATTTAAATGTAAAAATGACTTCAGCTTCATGTTTTATTTTTAATTCTGGGCTTTGAGGAAAACATGAATATTGACTCTCAGTGGCAGACACACTGTTGTACCAGAGAAGATCAAAAATGCATCACGGAGCTTAATCTTTTAAATGGCATTCTCTTTTTAGGCAGACCCTGTCTACCAGAGACAACTGTGTCCCAACAGACCTGGTCTAGTATCAATTAGAGCAGTTTCATCCACCATCTGGAATAAAACCGTTTGTAACATCAGGCATAGCACTGAAATCTGTGGGTGAGAAGGTTTGGTCCCATGCTCCATTGATTAGTGGGGTGCCTCAGGGGTCAATCCTTGGACCAGTTCTTTTTCTTTAAAAATACTGACCCATTATCTCGGTTGTGTGTTTTAATATTGCCAGGCCGAGTCCTGGTTTTTGTCCTGGTTTTCTGTCTTTAAAATATGATCACCCTCTGTTAGCTAAATCACAGTAAGACAGAACTATTGGTTTTCTCCCCAGTTCAAGTAGTCAAGGAGACCATTTAAAATATTTCATCCACATTTTCTCTTTCTTTCTACCTCTCAATTTTCCACCCAGCAGTTTCTTCCTCCTTTCATCTGACCCTGTTATATTTTTACAAAGGTTTCCACCTGCTGGGCTCATGATTTGAGCAAAGGATGATGGGTACTGGCAGCCGAGACCTCTGGATACTGGTGCCAGGGCTAACCCGTTGCTGTCATCCCCTAATGTTGTGTGTACATAAATGTGTGTGTATCTGGCTCCTTGATAAATCCATTAACATACTTGGCATAGAGATTGTATGCCCCCCCCCCCCCATGCGTGTGTGTGTGTGTGTGTGTGTGTGTGTGTGTGTGTGTGTGTGTGTGTGTGTGTGTGTGTGTGTGTGTGTGTGCGTATCGCCTTGTACATGAGTGTGAATGTATGTTAGTCCTTTGTGCTCCCCGAGGGATCAGAATGAGACTCGGGCATGAGGAGCTCACATTCCCCCTGAAGACCTGTTAATGCCAACACTCCTTGAAATGCATGAGCTTAGAGAGGCAAGTGTGTGTTGTTGTGGTGGTGTGCATGTCTGTGTGTTAACACTCTCCCCCCCAACTGAGCACTGGTCTGTTAACCATAATGGTCTAAGTAAAACTGGGGGAAAGTCTGACTTATTTGTTTACATATTGGTGAAAATGGGAACTTTCCTTTATCAGTCCCCAGATAGCAAAAGATAGTTATTCAACGTTGAATTTTGGTAGAAAAGGTTGATTTTTGGTTATGATTGAAGACTGATGGTTGTTCAACATTGAATCACTGTTGTATTGTAGTGCACAATTCACTGACTGAAATGCCAACATTGAATTAACGTTGAACCTATGGTGCAAATTCAATGATTGAAATGCCAACATTGAATCAGCGTTGAATATGTGGTGTTTGCCTTTTTCTTTTCTTTTTTTCTTGATGGGGGCACACCCCTCCTCACACCCCCCTCCTCCCATTTAATGATTTAAATGACAACATTGATTCAATGTTTTATCCATGTTGTTTGCCTTTTTCTTTGCTTTTTTTTCTTGTTGGGGGGAGGGGGGGCAACCCCGGCAACCCCCACCTCCCACTCCCCCCTTCTCCCACTTAATGATTGAAATGCCAACATTGATTCAATGTTGAAAATATGGTATGGAAAAGATGGACCAATGTTGTGATAGGTATCATCAAGTGTTCACCCCAAAATATCACAAAGAATCCTGGGAATATTACAGGTATTATTACCCCCACCCTCCTTTAATAAAAATGAAAGGAGGCTGAAAATCTGCAGTCATAAATGTTTGTTTCTTTTGTATAATACACATCTGTGTTTCTCCTTGGTTTACAGCCATGGGGATGGGGATGGCAATTCAGTAAAGTTGTTTAAACAAAACAATAATCAACTCAAAATGTAAAATATGGCCATTTCAATATTATTATAGCCCTGCTAGAAGTGTCTTAAAATCAAGGTCAAAGTTCACAAGGTCGCCAGGTCACTTGAATGGAATTTTTGGCTGCCCCGAGGCCTAGAAACGACACAGACACTAACGGACGACAGATTCTGAAACTTTGAATCACTAGGTACAACTGACATGAATTTGATGTCTGTAGCCCTTCTAGAAGGGCTGATTGTTCTGACTGTGTCTATGGCAAAAAAAAAAAAAAAAAAAAACAATACAAAATGTCTCAAGATGGACCCCTGGTGGTCTCTGAGGGTGAAACCTGCTCACTGCTGCAGCTCTGTCAGCATCAGTCTCCCATGCAGCGCTCAGAGTGCATGTTTGGCTCTGCAGCCTAAGCAGCGTTGCTCACTCCTAAGTAAGGAAAGCCTGCTTCATGTTAGAGTCTCTAAACTCCAGAAGAAGTCACTAAAAGTGGCTTTTATTTCTAAATAAGTCGTTAGGGGGTCTGAAAAGTCACTGAATCTAACAACAAAGTCGTTAGGTTTACAGCCACGTGTCTCAGACTGCAGCCCCGCAGAGAAGAGCGTAAGCGCCCGCCCCTTGTCAATCAGTCACCATATAATTTTTGATTGGTTGTTGAAGTTTTTCACCAATAGGAGAGGGGTTTTGGTGTGTTTTTTTTTTCTTTTGGCAAGCCTTCTCCGCCTGTAAGCACTGTCGCTAATGTTTGCAAGCTGTGTTTTCCTGTCTCATACAGCACGATCGAGCGCCAAACGTGATAAAAATAATCAGAAGTAAAGTATGGCGGACATAATTTACCATAACTCTGGTTTTATTTGGTCTATCAACACAATTTAAAAACTGATATATAGTTTTGGGTCCTCACTAGACCTTTTTCAAAGTACGCGGAAGTTAGCATTCTGCTCCCTTCCGGTGTTAGCATGTGGTGGAGCCACTTAACATCGCCCATAGACAGCCATTCATTTTTCATGATATTAACAAGCTCGCAACTCGTTTTTTTGAAAGGTAATGTAAAATTGTATGCTTTGTGCTGTTTTACTAACTCCTGTTCTTCATAATAATGTCCGGATTTTTTACTTTACTTTTCGGGAATTATGTTTAATAGGTCTGGAAATTTTCTGATGATGGTAACCATTGCTCTTCAGTAATGACCTGAGACGGATGCTGTGTCCGAATTGCCCGCTCGCATACTACATACTACTGCTACATACTACTGCTAGATCCTACTCCTACATAATAAACACGTTGGCCCAATTCGGACACACTAGATGAGCGGTGGGGAAAGACGACCCCCGCAGGCAGAGAGTAGGTACTGCGCCCGTTTTAGACTCTTTGAATGGTAATTGTGCAAGTGATGGATGCTGCTGTATTATATTCCTGCACTGCTTTAAAAATTCACAAAGTAGCTTTTCTATAACTTTTAGCCTTCATTCACTCACGTGGTGATCATTTGTTCAATGAGATCTGCCTGATTACTGCAGCTGTGCAGTTTAATGATGGAATAAGTGAGCTTTACCACTGTGATGTCGCCACATATTTGCTCATAAAATGATTACTTGGGCAAATATGACACCATGACATGAAAAAGAGATACAACCGCACATTTTTTAGGACAGTGTATGAAGTTACATGAAACTTACATCTGTACTGCTGCGGTCCTGCCTGCTGCTGCTGCTGCTCCGCCATGGTGCGCGCTGCTGTGGCCAGCCAGCGTTCGCGACACAGCTAAATAGGCAGCAGCTGGTGGCACTAGCATCACATGCGCTTCTACAACTTTTAAGAGGACGAAGAAGTAGCCCGCGGTGCATTTTGGGTCAGTAGCATGCCCGTAGGATGCACCGCGATCATCCTACAATGTGGGCGTGTCTAACATGCTACATACTACTTCGACTACTACTTGGCAATTCAGACGCAGCAAGAGATTCAACGAGGCTCTGTCTTGCAGCTGCATCTGGTTAAATATGTCATGTGACTTTGACGCTCAGGATTGCCCGTCGACTCCAGAGGGTTAAGTGGCTAAAGAAGTGCCCTGATTTTATTCTGTTTTTTTTTTTTTTTCGATTTCTCGCCTGGCCATGGTAGGAGGCACTGACACGGACAACCTGATCCGGCGGATGTTGGCAGCAGCATTGACAAATGGCCTGGCCAGTCAATACAACTGGGCCGGCAAGCATGATAAGCGTTGTTTCTCCACCAAGAAGCCCTTCAAAAACACTGCGATGCAAGGCTGCTTGTTAGGTAAGTCTCCTCTGCCAAAACTACAATTGTTTAAGTTTAGGTCAAAGTTTGTTTATTTGTCTCCTGTAGGAGAAACTTGTCTTTGAGTTAGAGCCCCACTGCATACATGTAACATTTAACAAGTCAAAAAGAAAAAACACAAAATTGAACACATACAAAAACAGTAAACTACGAGACAGAGATATTGCATATATTCCCTTAGTTAAGGTCCATCTAGCTGTTAAGCAGTCTTAGATTTCCCATTTTGATTGACAGAGTGCTTATATCGGTTTAATTCGCACCATGGTGCCCTATACCTCCTACTAGATGGTAGTAGATTATGCTCTGGATTCAGTACATGTTAGGGATCAGACATAATATTCCAAGCTTGCCTCATTACTGCTTGTTCAAAAATGGCCTGAGGAGTGATCGGGTGGGTCGACAGCTCCATGATCTTCCCCGCCATATTTGCCAACATAGAGATTTGTGATTTATATGTACAGTCAGGTTTCCAAACGAGCTGGATATACCATACCTTAAGACAGACTCTATATTGGCCCTGGAGAAAGTCAACATAATATTCAGACAGACTCCGAAGAGCCTAAGTCTTCGAAGAAAGTGTAGACACTGATATATCGTTGAACACATAGTTGTAACGTGTGTGCCAGTTGAAATCCTTATTGATCAGCACTCCCAGGTACTTATGGGAGAAGACTTGTTTGATGTTATGGTCATGAACAATATGCTTGTTATCTTGTCTTTCAGCTGCTGCTCGACAGTGTGATCACAAAATGAGCCAGATGCACTTCGAGGATATGGTCAAGTCTTGGCTGCGTTTTGCACCAAACCGACAGGGAGGCATCCCAAGAAATGCTCCGGAGCAGCAGGGAGCTGTCCCAAGAAGTCCCGATGCAGGTGGCAAATGACATTTTCTACTAATTTTCTACATTTTCTACATTTCTACTACTCTAGATTTTCTACTAATTTTCTACATTTTCTACTACTCTGGACTACTCTGGACTTTTTCTTTAGGCTACGTTATTGGCAATTGTCATTGCCTTGATGTTCAATAAATTTTAAGTTTAAAATCATGTTGTCTGTCTTTATTTTTTATTTCATTTTAATATTTTCACATTTTAGGAAAAGGTCATTTTGAACAAGCTATTAAGATGTAGTTCAAGTTCAAGTTTATTTCGAATATGAAAGAAGAATGAAGCAAAAAAGAAAAGGTTAAACAAAAACATTTCAACATGAACATACACATTCGAAAAGGAGTGAGAAGAAGCTTAGCTTATTAACTCCCTCCCCTTCTCCCTACTTAGCTACCCTAGTCTAGACAAATAGTAAGTGAAATAAAATGAATGTACCCCTTACTTGCATTAAGAAAACATAATGTGCTCAACCATTGTACAACATAGTAGTAGTATGCATATATATATATATATATATATACACTCCTGATCAAAATCTTAAGACCAGTTAAAAAACTGCAAGAATTTATATTTAGCACTGTTGGACCTTAAGACGGTTCTTCGTAGAGCTTCAAAATGCAAAAAGAAGAAATGGGAACAAGAGACCAAAAGTTTCGAGCAGGTAATTTATCGAAAACAACAATTTAACTGAAATCGGCTGTTCATCAGCTGATCAAAAGTTTAAGACCACAGCTCAAAAAAACCTAAACACCTCCAAAAACAGAAATTAAAGTGTCAAAAACTGTTGATTACTTCAAAAATTTGTTTTGGCATGCTTGATACAAGTGTTTCCAAAAGGCTAGTGGGAATGTTGCTCCAAGTGGTAAAGATGGCTTCACAGAGGGCATCCACTGTCTGGAACTGATGTCCATTTTTATAAATCTCCCTTGCCATCCATCCCCAAATGTTCTCAATTGGATTTAGATCAGGGGAACATGCAGGATGGTCCAAAAGAGTGATGCTATTCTCCTGGAGAAATTTCTTGGTCAGACGGGCCTTGTGAATTGTAGCGTGGTCCTGCTGAAAAACCCAGTCATTGCCACACAGACGAGGGCCCTCAGTCATGAGGAATGCCCGCTGCAACATCTCCACATAGCCAGCTGCTGTTTGACGCCCCTGCACAACCTGGAGCTCCACTGTTCCATTAAAGGAGAAAGCACCCCAGATCATGATGGTGCCCCCTCCACTGTGCCGCATAGAAAACATCTCAGGTGGCATCTCCTTGTCATGCCAGTAGCGTTGGAAGCCATCAGGACCATCAAGGTAAAAATTTTTCTCATCAGAGAATAAAACTTTCTTCCACCTTTGAAGGTCTCATGTTTGGTGCTCCCTCGCAAAGCCCAAACGGGCAATTTTGTCCTCCTAAATAGGTACAGCTATATAGGTACAGATGTATCTGTATGCACAGGAGACCATGGTGATCAGCCAATATCCAAACTACCCTGTCTGGAGTCAATAACAAACAACCTGTCCAGACTTAATCTCATCAAAGTCTTCCATCATGAGCCCAAGTCGGTCTGGTCTCTGCTGTCACTTCAGTTACCAATAATATTGTTTCCAGTATTGACCAGAGGAAGCATCAAGCTGACGTTTTTATTGACCTTGGTTCTGTTGATGATAATAATGTAGAATTTGACTCTGTCACTTTCAAATGGTTCAAATAGTTTTCTGGACAATTTTAAAGTGTGGAAATGGAAAATATTCAGTAAGAGCTTCAGTCCTGTGTCCTGTTTCATTTCAACTCTAAATCAGTAACATGGTGTTCTCTGTTACTGACTGTGATATCTATCTGTATGCTGATGACCCTGCTCTGTGTTGTTCTGAGTGAAATTATTAATCTGATTCTTAATGCAAGCAAAACTAAGTTCATGTTTGTTGAAATTGATTCAGGGTATTTGTGGTGATGTGATCTGTCTGTGGAGTTTCTTGGTGATGTTGATTTGAATTAAGGTTACCAAAAAAACATGTTTTTGTAGGTGTAAAAACACATCTCTTTCTCTCTTCATCTGAGTCAACATGGGACCTCTACACACAATAACAGTTTTGTTATTCCACACATTTGACAAGCTTTAATCTCCTTTGATCCAAACATGTCAGTTTATGTTTATAATGAAGGTCAAAGGTCAAACTGAGAAGTACAAACAAAAATAAAGTATATACAGTTTTATTTTACTTCATCTTCTTAAATGTCAACACGAACAGAAAGTTTCCTTTTTTTTTAACATCCATAAAGTAAGTAAACAAATATGAAGTAAGACCCTCTTATACATTATGTATTGATTTTAAATGTAAAGACAAGGCTAAGGGCTGCAGCTTCACATTTATTCACATATGTTCTCAATGGACTCTCATGCATAATGGATCCTGTGACTGATTTTATTCTCCTGTTTGTTAAAGGAAATTCTTCTGTTTTAATTTTTCCACTTTAGCTCTTCTGAATTAATAATCCAAGGGTTTCTTTAATATGATGCAAACAGCAAAACAAAAACACAGATAAAGACGGCAGCGACAGACTTGGGTTTAATCTGTGACAGAGAGCTGGAACAAAACATCCATGATTTATTACATGAAGATGGTTTTTATGAAATCACTAAAACTATCATATTCTTATCACTGATCCTGGTGCAAAGCCGATAAATCAAACGTTGATTGAGAAACAGCACTGACAGAGACAACAAAACACTCTCTGATTAATGATAATGATAAAAATATTAACCTTAAAGTGCGACGAGAGTTTGGATCAGAGTCTCTAAAATCATCTGAATACAGAGACAAGCTTACCTGCAGATGACTGTAGCCTAGCATGCGTGTAGGTTTTTGTCTGAAACACAGCTCAAACAAGCTGAACACATCTGAGTTTTCTGTTTTAAAAAGAAGTAAATAAATCCTAAATCCTAAAAATGTTCCAATCAGGAGAGGAACAAAAGAATATGAAGCTGCCTGCAGAAATCTGACGATGCAGATACCTCAGAAAACAGCTTATCTGTTGGACCTCTGTGAGATGACTCTCTGATCATAAATAGAGGCTTTTAAAAGCTCATGATCACACTAGAACTAGTGTCAAAATAAAAATGTTAGACTTGTTTCTTCTTCCAGGGATTCACGGCTCCTGCACTGATGGAAATGTTGTGCTCTGCAAAAATCTGGTTTGCAGCTTCCCAACATGAGGCGATTTGGCATTTTCTAAACAAGCAGCCGCCCAGCTCTGCACTCAACAGTTCCTGCTCCCAATTTAACTCCTCTAATTACATGCTTTTGGAATTTGGATTATGCCGCCGCCGCTGCAGCCTGGCATGTGCTTTTGGAAGCCAAAGCAGGGTAAGAGCGTTGGTTGGGGGGCTAGAGAGAGAGCAGGAAATGGAGGCTGGTTCTGGCTGAGCGTGAGGATCCGGCCTGGTTTACCTCTATCTCTCCTCATGCAGGGCTGAGTCTCTCTCTGCCTCACTGTCTTGTTTTCTTCTTCAGGGGATTTGGAGGTCTCTAGCTCTGCTATGCAAATCCATTGTGTTTGGATATACTCGCCTCAAATCCGGCCACACTTCCTCCTCCTCTTTTTTCTGGCTTACAACTCCTCACTTCTCTTCCGCTTTACTCTTCTTCCCTGTTCCAATCTTTTCTTCTTTCCTCCCCAGATCTGCTCTTTGCGTATTTCCTTTCATCTCCCGTCTTATCCGGTTTGTACGATCCTCCTGTCCTCTTTTACCTGATCACATCTCTCTCTGAGCTTTTATCTTCTTCCTCCTCCTGTTTTTTGTCACTTTTCCATCTCCTTTCTGATTCTCTTTTTTCTCCAACCTGCTCACGCTCTGTTTTTTCTTATCCTCGCCTCCCTGCTTGCCTGATTCATCATCCTCTTTCCTCTCTCATCACTTTTCCCCCTGTATCCTTCAACCTTTTACCTCCATGTGTCCTTTCATTTCTTGCCCAAAGTCTGTCCTTTGTTTCCTTCCTTTGCCCTTTTGCAGGATCCCTCTCTTTCCTCTCCTCTTCCTCTCGTCTTCCTCTCCTAACCAATTCTCCTTATCATCTCCTCCAGAATCCGCCTCAGCCGTACCCTCCGTCTCTTCCCCGCCTCCCACAGATACCAGGCAGTCATTTTCCGTTTCATTGCCGTCTTATTTAGAGCACATTTAACAATTTCATGCCGGGGAGATTCTCCCACACTGGGAGGCAATATGTCTCCCTGTTGTTAGACTGCAAATATTTCTTTTTATGAGTTTATTAAAACATGAAATGGACGGCAAGCTGGAGGCCTGTTTGTGCTTTGTTCTGAGCTGCTGTGGCAGATTTTGGTGCTTTCTGTTTTTTTTGTTTGTTTGTTTTACAGAAAATGTGCAGTTTAAGGGAGCAGGATGGTGCAATTGAGATTTAAAAGAAGAAGCATTAGCTGGATGCAATGGAGGAGCAGAATCAAACAGTTATCTGTTTACTATGAGGCCTCGTTATGCCTTTGCCTGCCCACTTGGTGCTGCATCTCCTCAGAGGAGTGATCCCCAAAAGTGCAAACACACACACACAAATACACACACACACACACACACACACACACACACACACACACACAGCTCAGCACTGACTCTGCTTAAATGGTCAGCAGAGGATGATGACGATAAATACAAAGCCGGAGCGTGTTCACAAAGGTGTGAGAGAGAAGTCTGCCAACAAACAGGAATGAATTAAAAGAGGAAGAGGAGAGGAGGAGGTGGAGGAGATCTGAGGTTTATGGGTGCTGGAGAGTTTTTCGGGGAGGGAGGCCGCCTCTCTTCCCTCGTTCAATAAATGGTTTTTGGGATTAGCTCCTGCCGCCTCCTAAGGGAGAATATCTCAGGAGGAAAAGGATGGAGAGGGATGAGAAGATTGTGGAGGAAGGGAGGAGAGGAAGGAAGGAAAGAGGCAGATGAAGGGAGAGAAAAGGGCGATCAAGGCAACACACACTTCATTAAAGAGAAGATCAA